CCCGCAACACTTTCCCAGCCCTTTGGACATTTTTCTCATTGCGCCTTTTGAACAATGTCATCTGCGAAACATACCCACAACTGTCAGCACAGCCCAAGGTGGACGTGATTCTTTCACTATGGGTTCTTGGAACTATCCATATCCAGGAGTTTCATGATGTGGATGGCGATCGGAGGATCAAGCGCAAAACACTTCCTGTGCTTTGTTCAAGTGCTTCTTCTATGAAGATGCTGAGGGGCATCACGGCTGGCCTAATTGCTGCTAGCGGGTTGATTGTGGTCCTGTGGGGATGGATACAGTGCCTTGGGCCTTTCGACTTGATTACTGTTTGCCTGGTGCTTACGGGAATGTTCCATCTTATTGGTGCATTGGCTGTTGGTGTTCGTTGTGTTTTTGCGACGTCGGTGGGTATGGATGAGAGAACGTATAAAGTGTATTATATCTTGACAGCGTACTGGCTTGTGTACTTCTTATCGCTGGTCAATAAGTCAACCACCATGAGTGGAGTGGCAGGAAACAAGTGATGAAAGAAGGGAAACAGCTGATATAGATAAAGTATTTGTTATGGTGTCCGGACCGATTTCCTCACATAATAAACGAGCATTTGCCCCATCTTTCATCATGATTTGAATGCTGACTAGTTGCAAGTTCCGCGCGATATGTGGGATGAGAGAATGAGAGGGTGGAAGGGTATATGAAGGGCTATACTTTAGATGAGGATCCCAAGCTGATTCAAGGCATTAATGGGGATATGGCTTCATTCAAGAGACGTTTCACCTCCCATGTCACTCCATTGTATGGGGATAGGATGAGCAATTAGTTCCGGGGGAAGTAGATCCTTCCAGCCAATTTGAATGTACTATCAAGATTCGCAAAACATGGCCTCCAAGTATCGAGTTAAGGCCAGGTACATACGCAGTTGGATGACCGCCAGATCTGCACTACCCAATCATGCTGTTAGTCGGGAGTGATAACGCGGGAAAACAAAAGCACTCCTTTATTTAAAAGTTTTCTACCTTCCTACATCCGCTTCTAATGAAAATCTCGGTACGTTCTGACCCTCGTAAATTATCTCGAAAATCATCGAATACTGATGTTTAGGGTGGCTTCTTCTTCCCCGCACTGTAGCTTTCTAGCGACGGGTAGAACAAACTGGCCTCTCTGGGAGAAACAGCAACTAGACTAGCGGGTTGACTGCCGGCCATGTAGCCGAGGATATAGAGTTGCGCTACTGCCCCCCGCATGCGGATCCCAACCTTTATCAGTGGCCACGACTCCCGAGTGCACTGATATCGCATCCATGCGCCATCCAATCGTCGGCCTTTCCCGCTTATCGAACCCCTCCCCGTCGGCTTTGCGCTGATAACTCCTTCGACCTACTCCTCTCCGTCGCTTCTGTTTTCTCCTCCAAGATGCTTCTGTATCATGGCTGCTCCTGGTCGGGTATGCGCTCGGTGCGCAGTGATTGTAAGTCTTGACCTCTCCTTCGAGAATTGATCACCATACTGAATTCGGATAGAAACAACGCTGTGATGGCACATCGCCCTGCTCTCGTTGCGCACGTATGCTTTGCACTTCTAGTTTCTTATGTGCCAATATATGCTGACCAACTAGGTCTGGGCCATATCTGCGAGCCTCAAAAGCCCGGAAGACCTGCCTCTGAAGTCCCGTCGCTAGCTTATCGCCGACCTAGGGCTTCCCGATCGCGCGGTGGTTGTACCTCATGCAAGGCGCGGTACGGACACCCATAAGATCCCCAGAACTACTACATTGCGACAGCTAATAGCCAATAGCAAGAAGAAGTGTGATGAAAGCCGACCTCGATGTAGCGACTGTCGTCGTTTGAACTTACCATGCCACTGGAATAATCCAAGGGAGAAGTCTTCGTCACCAGCCCTCGCCTCTCCGCAGCCGTCGCCTACGTCTTCCTCTTCCGAAGTTGCTCATGAACCCATACTATCTTCCGTTTCGGATCCAGTCTCAGAGGTCGATCCGATCTCCCCTTCCGAGAACCTTTTATCGTCCGTTAGCGATGATCTGCTATCTCCATTCTCGCCCCTCTGGATCGATGTGGAGATGATCCTCGGACCCATTCAGTCTCCAGATGGCGCATACAATCCCCATCTGCACAATGACGACGATCGTAGTCTATTCAACCACTATGTACATATCGTGTCACGAGCACTTTCACGTTCCACGACCACTGAATCCACGACGAACCCATTCCTAGCCACCCTGCTACCCATGGCCGCCGCATCGGAGACCCTAACTAGCGTCATACTAGGCCTTAGTGGCTGTCACTGGCGGCGCATCTATCCCCAAATCTGGGACCGTGCCCTAGCGCGTCAAGGAAAAGGTACATACTCATCAATTCCCCAGAACACCCTCAAATACCACTAACCATAACAGCCTTAGCACAAGTGAGCAACCTACTCCGTCGACCAAACCAAAACCGCCAATCTTTCCTCGAGGCCTGCGCCACCATTCTCCTGCTCTGCCTCACAGAGCTATTCGAAGGCACCTCTCGCGTCTGGAAATGGCATCTCAAAGCGGCAGGAAACCTCCTCAGTACTGCAGCAGCTGCAACCGATCTGCATCGCCTAGCATCAACCCCAGAAGGGATCTTCTGCCTCCAACTCTTCCACTACCTCGACGCCATGTCCACCATATCCAGATGCAAACCCCCATTATTACGTGCAGGCGAGCGACTCACAGACCTTACCTCATCAACTTCCTCCTCTTCCCTCCTAGTACCCCTCGGAGACAACTCCATCTCTGGCATCCCACCACCCCTCCTAGAATACCTAGGCCGGGTCAACCTCCTCGCCGCCCACCGCAGCCGACGCGTCGACGACCTCTCCGAGATCGGATTCCGAACAGCCGCTGCGCACGTACGCGCACAGCTCGATACCTGGCGAGTGGATTACGATGCGACCAGCACTGCTCTGGTAAACAGCGACGCGGACAGAGCAACAACAGCCTTCGAATGGGCGATCCGATTACGACTACATCAGATTGTGGACGGATATGATCCACACCATGCAGACGTGGAGAATGCTCTCTCTCACATTATGACAGCTGTGCTGGCAATTCCTTATGGTAGTCCCGTGGAGGGTAGTCTGCTGTTTCCGTTGGTGATTGCTGGCGCTAGTTGTAGGGATGGTATGGAGAGAAGAATGGTTGTTAAGGAGCGGTTGATGGTGATGGAGAATACGTTGGGGTTTGGACATATTTCGCATGCGAGACGGTTGCTGGAGACGGTGTGGGCTGATGAAGGCGGGGATGGCAATTGGGCGAGGATAAGGTATAGCTTGTTTCCTGGGGTGGTGTTTGTTTAGTAGGCGGTTAGTATGTACTGTTTCTGTGGCGTGGCGTGGCGTAGCGTGTATGTGCTTGTTGAATTTTGCATTCCCAAGTACTAGTGTAGTTTCAGTCTGTCAGTAATCGGTTCTTGTTGTTTCAGTCGGGCCTTTAGAAATTATTTCTACAGGCAAGTTGTGTGTTGCCGTGATGTAGTTCTCGACGACTGGGCAACAAGTAGTCATATTAATAATAGCGAAAGTCCGAACTTTTGCCATAATCATTCAATAAGAAGCATGAATGTAACTGTCAACATCAGCATACACATTAAGCATTACAATATTTGGCCCAATTTCGTGGATATCAAGTCAATCATAACATTTTTCATTCCAACCGAAGCTACCCCCGTTACTGAGCCAACCTAATACAAAGGCGGCGCGTCATTCGACTCCCGGCGTCCATTACCGACTCCTACCGCTTATAACTCGCGAATCACTTCTCAAAAGCCTTTTGGTTATACAACTCCGACGGAGCCTTCCCCTCACAAAAGTAATCCAGGATCATATCACAATACATCCAAATCGCCTCATAATGCTCCAGGGTGAGATCTTTCTTAGCCTTACGCGCCACAATCACAGCTCCTTCCAAAACATCTGCTTAACACCCTTTCCACAATGTACAGCATGAATATCACACTCAACAAATCTGTTGCTTTGGTGATCGAAAGGTATAGATTCGTCGTATAGATTTGCGAATTCCTGCTCCGCGCTCGACTGAGCATTCGTCTGACCAGATAATTCGTAGAAAGTCTTCAGCAGCGTATTCGGCATATTGTTGAGCCCATCTCAATCTCTCTTCTGCGTGTTGAGAAGTGATTTCTGGCCGCTCACATTATTTCCCTGCACGTGTAGAGTATGGAATAGACGTTGAACTGTTCTGATTGAAGGACTGCTTTGTACAGCAGTAGAAAGTTCACGCATTTTTATATGCTGATCTTGCTCAACTAAGTTCAATAACTGCTGCTGTTCTTCAGGAGTAATCTTTTTAGGTCGTCCGGAGCGAGGTGCAGTGTGTTGCTGCTTTCGAGTACTCTCGCGCTTGATTGTAGTCTGTATAGTAGAATAAGGAATATGAGGATAGCGTTTGTGAATCATAGTAAAAGACCATCCAATTGCCTTTAACTCACAGAGTCTAGCACGGATCTCTGGGGTCAGTTCTTTGCGTGGTGGCATCTTTGTATGGCTTGCTTGCTTGCTTGCTTCAAGATTCAGGGCACTGTACGTGTTGTTTTGGTAGGCAGAATAGCTGTATTCTAACCTAGTTAGGAAGGCGGAAGTGAAAGCAGGTAGTGTAGAATGTGGGGCAACGCAAACTTTTGACATCCCACTGTAGGCCTCCACAGGTACCTGCGTGGATTGATGGTCATTTATGTTTGTTGATAATTGTTCCCGATAGATAGAGAAAGTGGAACTCTGGTCTCGTATCACAATATAGATATCGCATGGGAGCTTTAATGATACTATGCCCTGCGCTAGATTTATGATTGAGATACGTGATTTCGCGTCAGTATATTTCCACGAAAACCTTCTGCCAAAGATTCTATACTTCGTATAGCAGCATAAACAGCATGATCTTGCGGATCAACTCCTCATAAGAAACTACTTAAATACACACAGCCACCTAAACACCAGATCTAATATCTATTGGGCCTTCAGCTCTTCCAAATGCGTTCGCATATTATACCCACACACCTCCTCAATAGTCAACTTCCCAGGCCGATCCGTCGACGAGCTCCATCCAATGCGCTCGCTGAGGTCTTCACGCGCGCGAAAACTCGCCTCTTGGACTTTCGTGGCTCGTGGTTTCCGCAACCGCTCGTACAGCTGTAGACCCTCTGCGACACTATACTCTTCCCGGAACGTGCGGTGGAAAATTAATCCCAACGCGCCGGCGTCCTCAAAGGCCATACACGAACCCTGCGACTGATCGGGCATCATGGGGTGGGCGGCATCACCAAGCAGGCATACTTTGCCTTTGGCCCAGTAGGGGTATGGTTGGTGACGGTACACTATCGAGTATCAGCAAGTGTATCAAACACAGGGGCTGTGAACCCTACAGCGCCACATCTTAATATCCTCCGCATTCATCATCAACAGCTTCATGCGCTCATCCAGTCCTGGGAAAGTATCGACCAGCTGCTCCGGAGTAGCCGCGATATTCCAGCCATCGCCACGCAAATTGTTGTACTCTGCCGGATAGAAGCAGTAACAACTTACAACTTCGCCGTTACTGCAAGGTGACATGACGATTTTGTTGATTCCGAATCCACCCCAGTATTCGATCGCCTCGTTGTCAATGTAGTCGTCTAGCCCGAGGCTGCGGAGTTTATCGGCGCTAATAATGCAACGATAGCAGCATGAAGTCGACATGGTGAATTCGGGGGTGATACCCATTTCAAGTCGGCTTTGGGACTGTATCTCGTTCATGTAAATATAAAAATAAAGCTTATTGAATATTTAGGAAATGGGGAAGGGATAGTTACGCGAATACCATCCGCGGCGACGATAAGGTCTGCCGACGCCGTCTCTCCATTCTCGAACACAATGCGACCGGCCTCTGCGTCTAGCGACACGGCCTTGTGATTGACCTTTAATGTGCAGGGGGTGCCTTCGCCTGGCTCGTCAAAAGCAGACTTGAGTAGTTGTTGGTGGATGTCAATGCGGTGGAAGTTGTTGTATTCCTGAGAATCGGCCACGTCAATGACAGATTGTAGAGTGAAGACTGAATGCCAGACTGACCGTTCCAAACTTAGCTTTGTAGTCCCCCAAACCATATTCGTTCTGTATCGCCCCAGTCTCCCAATCATGCATGATAAGTTTCTTCAAGACCACCGGTTTCGCGGCCTTGACATCGACACCCCATTGCTCTAGGAACCGGGATCCATTGGAAGCTGCGCTCAAGGAAGCGCCCACTTCGCCAGCAAAATCGTATCTCTCGTAGACGGTGATTCGATGGCCTTGGCGACGTAAAGCCACGGCTGCGCTCAGGCCGCCTAGACCGGCGCCGATGATGGCAATGTCGAGGGGAGAGTCGGTGCGCGAGGGCATTCTGTATGGTTTGACGAATCGACAATTAATATGATTTTGGCTTTCTCTGCATCTCAGCTTCATGTTCGAATATTTGTTTATATACCTATCCGGCGCCTTCCTATGGTCTATGTCGTTCGGACACACATCCGATCCACTTATCGTGCATCCGACGGGGCTCGTATCTATGCGACGGGTGCAGCAGTAGTGCAGCTTATCGCACCGATCGCCCCAGCCAGTGATAGGGGACATTGTAGCCCTCACTGTGTACAGGAACAACCTCTTTAAGACAGCCCATCATGCCATTCCGCCGCTTCTCGACGGCCTTCTGATGGAACATGCCATCCTTGCTGCACAAACACCATGTCTGATACTAAAGAGGAAAAGCTGGCCACTATCGACTATGGCCTTGGCGATCTGCACGATGATTCGGCACTGTTGCGTCGGATCGATTGGCGCATACTGCCGATTATGTTCTTAACGTACTTTTTGCAGTTTCTGGATAAGGTGGCCTTGAATGTACGTCCCGATGTTCATCTTAAACACATGTACGGATGTCGATGCTGATGGTAGCAGTACGCTAGTGTCATGGGCATGCAAGATGATCTTGGGATGAAGGGCAATGACTTCTCCTGGCTGGCTACGGGGTTCTTCATTGCTTATGCCGTGGCCGAGATCCCTCAGGGTATATCCCATTCGCTCCTTCATTATGCTCGTATCACTGATTGTAGATAGGGTTCTTACTCCAACGATACCCCATCACTAAAGTCCTCGGATTCAACATCCTCTGCTGGGGAGTGCTCCTCTGCTGCTCTGCCGCAGCCCAGAATTTTGCAGGCATGATGTCTCTACGAGTGCTTCTTGGCACACTAGAAGCTGTGATCGGTGCGATCAACACTATCTATCTCATATGCCCAGTGCTAATACTACACATACAGCCCCCGCCCTAACCATGTACACAAGCATGTGGTACACCCGGGCCGAATCCACCCCTCGCTATGGCCTCTGGTACTGCGGACTCGGCACCGGGCAGATCATCGGCGGATTGATATCCTTCGCGGCGCAGCATGCACCGGCGTCGATGTCATTTCACGGCTGGCGGATCATGTTTGTGGTGATTGGAGCAGTAAACGTCCTCGTAGCACTTCTTGTCCTGTTCATTCTACCCGCCACACTATCTGAAGCGCGCTTCCTGAGCACATCCGACAAGGTTCGCGTGGAGGAGCGCCTCCGACAAGACCAGGCTGGTGTGGGCGAGAAAGTCTTCCGTGCGATCTCGCTGCTCGAGGCATTTGCAGATCTCCAGACTGCGCTCTTGGTGCTTTTGACTATTCTAATTACTATACCCAGCGGAGTTATCACGACGTTCTCATCCATCTTGATTAAGGACTTTGGATATGACTCGAAGGAAAGTGCGTTGCTTAATATGCCCTCTGGGGTGGTTAGCATTGTTGCTACTATGGCGTCCACGATGGCCATCGCGCGGGGATATTCGCGCTGGTTGGCGATTAATGTTCTCTTGATCCCTACTTTGATTGGGGCGTGTCTAATGTCCTTTCTGCCGTCGTCGAATCAGGGGGGTTGTTTGGCGGGAATATACCTTGTGAACACGGTAGGTTGCTCCAGTCGTAAATGCGATGGGTGTGCGCTAACTGGAATAGACTGTTGCCCCGCTAGCATTGATTTTCGCGTGGACTGGTGCAAACTACAAGGGGTATACCATGAAGGTAAAAGCCCCATACTACTTTCAATTCAATAGCAGCTAACATGAACTGCCACATAGGTAGCAGGAAGTACACTCGTCTCGGCCGGTTTCAGCATCGCCAACATCATCGGGCCGCAGACGTTTCAATCCCGCGATGCTCCAGGGTATGCATATCCCTGAACTGCCACATCTAATTTCCTTACTTATCTGAACAGGTACATCCCCGCTAAGATCACGATCGTCGCCGTCAACGCCGGCGCAATCATCATCTCCACCATGCTGCGGGTGGTCTACGGCCGTCGGAACGCGCGGGCTAACCGCTTAGGCCGGGCAGCGGGGAGTCGCATGGAAGAACGGCTGCGGAGTGAGGGCGATGATGAGGGGGGAGTCGACTTTCGATTTGTGTACTAGTTAGTAGTTCAGAACTGCTGAGTCTAATCTATGCGACGGCTCCACTCGAAGAAACATCACAAGATACTACACAATGTATATAAACCACCGTAACCCATATCTACTACACCCAACCCTATCCATATCCTCTACAGCCATTCACACTAATACTACCACCGCCAAAATGCTAATTCTCATAACCGGCGCCAACGGCTTCATAGCAACGTACTGCATCGCCACACTCCTCCGCGCTGGCCACTCCATCCGTGGCACCGTGCGCAGCGCCGAAAAAGCCACAGCGACGCTTTCCGCCCTCAACGCCGCAGGAGTTCCCCACCTTGAGACATCCCTGGACCTCGTGGTCGTTCCCGACCCCACAGACCTAGCGCAGTTTCTCCCCGCAGCGGCAGGCTGTGACGCTATCTTGCACCTCGCGTCGGCATTTACCTATGATGCGGAGCCGGGGCAGTTCGAGGAGCGATTGCTTCGTCCGGCGATACAGGGGACGAGGGTTGCGTGTGAGGCTGCAAAGCAGTGTGAGAGTGTGAAGAAGTTGGTGATCATGTCGTCGTTTGCGGCGGTGTATGATGCGGCGTTGGGGTTGCAGCCTGGGAAGGTTTATACGGAGGAGGATTGGAGTCCGCTGGGGTATGAGGAGGGGAGAGATACTGATAATGTGGTGAGTTTGTGTTTTCATGTTGTTGTTGTTGATGGTGGTTGTTGGTTGCTGACACGGGGGTGAATGTAGGCTGTGGCGTACCGCGCGTCCAAGGTCCTAGCGGAACGGACTGCATGGACATACATCAAGGAGAATAATGTGGACTTCCAGCTTGTCACACTTTGTCCTGGGATGGTCTTCGGGAAGATGATCCATCCGATTTCATCGCTTAAGTATCTGAATGCCAGTAATAGGATTGTGTGGGAGGTAGCGAAGGGCGGAAATGAAATCCCGCCGACAAAGGCACCCGGTAAGTAGCTACTCTACACAAGCAACGTAGTAGGTCAAATAACTAACAAACTATTACTAGTCTGGATCGATGTGCAGGATTTAGCAGATACATGTCTGTGCGCGTTGACGGTCGATTTACCCTCCCATCAGCGGTTTCTGGTCACGGAGGGCCCGTACGATACGCAGGAGATTGCGGATGTGGTGAGAGAGGATATTCCTGCTGCTTCGAAACGGGTTGCGGTTGGGAGTCCGGGGGCGAGAATAAGGGATATGCATTATTCGTGCGATTCAGGAAAGGTGAAGAGGATGCTGGGAGTGCGGTTTCGGGGGTTGAGGGAGTCGATTGTTCCTTTGGTGGAGCAGTTGTATGCTATGGAGGAGGGAGAGAGGAAAGATGGTCTGTCTGCTGCGATACTCTAGTAGTAGTACTTAGTAGTACTTCCATATTTATATAATTATCTTCAACTTGACAGAATAACATATGAGGAAATACGGACCTGCTTTACCTCCATAAGTCTAAAACGAGCAAAAGTCCCTCATCCCCGCGCGATAAATACTACTACTATGCATACAGTTGGTTGACTTTGCCACACCTACGAGCAATATGTGTGAGCCTTCTATATGCTTTAATCGGAGTTCATACGTACTTGATTGGGCTTCCCTAGTCACGGTTGAATATTATGGTTGAATCCGTAAGCTTTAGAAAATATGATAACGCTTGAGTCGTAGGGTATAAAACCAAGTAATAGTATTTTCTAAGATCCACTGTAGTGATTGAATATATTCCATCGTGTAAAACAATTGAACTTGGGTATTGATAGTACATCAACTTCGCTTTCCTAAATCATTTCTAGTGCGCGTTGCTGAGACAGGCAGTTACGGTGCTCCGCTGTCCGCTTGTCCTTGAAGGGATACTATGACCCTTGGGGGTATTTGGTAGGGTCTAAGGCTTGGGGTTTGTTCCTCGTCTGCTGATTCAAGGTGCCCAGCGGGCTTCTGCAGGTGGCCTGTATGGCCGCGGTTTGCTGTAGAGGGGTAACAGGAGGGTTCTTTAGAATCGACAGGCAAGGACGTACTGACAGGTAGGTTGGCATTAGCAGCCTTGCCGCAGTTGCACTTCTTTCGTCTTGGTCTTTCTGTGCTAGTGTTGCAATTTGCGTCAATACGCACTTTTGAGTCAGGCGGCAGGGTTCGCTCTTTGGGTTTCGGCGCAGCCTGCTCTCCGGCTGAGGGCACTGTAGCTGGTTTTACGGCCGGCTTTGGATAAGGGCTGGCCCTGTGCTTCTGTAAGAACTTGATCCTATCGTGGGCAAGCCCCAGCGCTCTGCAGAACGTATCTTGGGAGGCGTATGGACCTTGACAATTGGCGCGTATGAGGTTGGCTGTGTTCCGACACTTTACCGGTTTGTGGCTGTCCCCACAATAAGGACAACGTCTGGAAGAGTTGCAGTTGCGCCGGGAGTGCTCAAACATCTGACAAATTGGGCACTGACAAAGACAGTAATGCTCATCAAACTCTTACGTTCTAATGGAATACAATTTAGATGTAGGGTGCCTTCCTGTAAGAAGGCACTTGCATGTTCTGGTCGGTCAAAACTGACGATCAACGAACTTTTGAGAGGTAGTGGCAGAGTGTTGCCGGTCAACCAATCCACGTAGAAAACGTAAGCATTCGGCACTCGTGGATTCTGAAGCATAATATGTCGAGCAGCCATTCCACTGCTCAGGGCCTGGCTGGTGAACCAATCTGCCGGGACGTCGTGGACCAAACTGGACCAGGATTTCCTGAGAATGGGGGCGTTTCGCCCCTGTCTGAGGTGAGATCTCCACTCGTTGCTGTACGCTACCAGGGCATCAGTATCCTTGCGGCTTGACGTATGTATTTCAAGGTCACCTGATGGAAGTACTTGGGCTGAACAGATCCGCACATGTCGCTGCGCTTGCAGGACCGCATGTTGCACGTCGTTTTGCGGTATTGGGGTTGGGACATCTTTTCAAGGGTGTGAGTCCGAAAGTAGAAAGGTACAATGCTTTGTGCAGGTTGGGACTGCTATGCCCTATATGTATTAAACTGTCAGCCGGCTTCCCAACGAGTAGTCTCGGTGGCGCAATTGGTAAGCTTACCCTTCATCGAGTTCATCCACACAATCAGTTACTAATTCATCATTAAAGGTTAGCGCGTACGACTGTTAATCGTGAGGTTGAGAGTTCGATCCTCTCCCGGGACGCATCTTTTTTGCTTTTTCTTTTTGGTTCCCGCTTCTTCTTCACCGCACCACACGTTCGGGGTTATTCCGTCGTATTATGCTTTTAGGTTGCTAATATTGGGGCCGTGGCGTGCAATAGCTTGTCAGAGCCGTTACTGGTGGGCTAGCTGAAACCCTATTGTCTACAAAGGTCCGAAGTCACGCCATCCTAACTGTTGTTTGTTTGTTGGGTTGGGCAATCCCGAGTCAGCCATAACCGCCCCAGTCCAATCGCTTCATTGTCCGTCAAGCTTGGCAGTTCGTGTTGAAGTGGGCGGAACAACTTGATGAGCCTAATTTCTGGTGGAAGGTCAGAATTGATTGAGGATCACTCCTGGAGCCATCCTGTGAGAGTAAAACAGCCTTGTTGGTGCTCAGTGACCCACATTATTAACTTCGGATCCTCATCCAAGGTATGGGGAAATTGCAGGAGCCATCCCCATCCATTTTGAACCGAACAAGTAATTTTGCTCATGACCGAACTACTACTCCGTAGTAGTCCTAGTAATTAACGTCTCGGTCATGAACCATCTGCCTCGAATATCTCTGGAATTCCGCAGCAAAGTAAGTTCCTGACCTGAGCAGACCACGTGTCCACAACACCAGCCCTTGCGAAGTTTCCTCTCAAAATGAATTTTCCTGAGATCAATGGCCCCCACTGTTTGCTTATCACAATAGAGGGCTGGTGCAATGGTCAAGGGATCCTCGACAGCAGATGAGCAGATGGTCCGGCAAAACTGAAAAGGCCTTACGCCCCGACGGTCAAGCGCGTAAATCCGGGCGTTTATTGTTGACGGCAAGGGTTCAGTCACTCAGCAGCCGAACTCTATCTCCATCACCACCGCTTCGCTGTCTTCACATGTTAGTCCGTCTGTCAAGGAAGCTCATCGGAGACCGTCGTCCATCCGACCAGCCGATAAGGCTGCAGTTCTATGCTAGATAACATGCAACAACGCAGTCGATGTCCTCATGCTATCTAGTTCTCGCAGTCGCAGGATCCACACCCCTGTACGATCATGCATCAAGCTCACCCTGTCACCTGGCTGACTACCGAGCTCCTGCAGGCACGCTAGCCTGGTCATCTGAAATCACACCCACTTCTTCACCCGCACTAAGCTTTTTAACCTCCTATTTACGGCCCCTTCTCTGGTTAAACCTAGTTCCATTTGTACCCCTATTTTGATTGGCGGAAGCAGACGGAAGCAGACGGATCAATATATGGCCCCCGCTTGTTAAGCCCAAACCAGCCAGGCGCAGGTGGGGTTGAATACATAGTAGCGGTAGGGGCTTTCTAGAAACATTGCGGGTCGTGGAACTTTTACGTCCAGTTTTGTCTGGCACACGCGGCCGAGCGCATGGCGGCATCTCGCGAATGTCTGTTCTCTCCCTGCGTGACTGAGAGCCAGAGGGCCATTGGTCCCTTAGCCCCTTGCAGCCTGACATGCCAGCACGGATTCCTCACGACCATGGCGCGCCCCGGACCAGGAATGCCCGCTGATTGGCGGTTTATAGAGCACATGGGGGCTAGATCCTGGCTTTTCCTTTTGCAGCGCCAGGAGCGTTAGTCACATTTGCTTTTGATTGCGACTCTCCTATCACCAGTCGATGTACCGAGTCTAATTCATTTCGAATACCCTCTCGGAGACGTTGGTGACAACGATGGGCCGTTGACAGCCGTCGGATCCCCAGTTCATCTGATCTATAAAGGGGGCCACGCCACCGTAGGTAAATCTTCAGAAAGTCGCAGATCTTTCCCAAGAGTATCCAGCGCTGTACTACCTGGCTCTCAAGATGTTCTTCCGCAGGGAATTTGTGGCCGTCGTAGCTCTATCTGTTCTGGCCCATGCTGCTCCCGCACCTGCTCCGATGCAGCGTAGAGGTAACACTCTCCAAATATATTGTGGACCGTGAACCCACTAACCTTGCTCAGACATCTCCTCTACCGTCTTGGACAACATCGACCTCTTCGCCCAATATAGTGCAGCAGCTTACTGCTCCTCAAACATCGAGTCCACTGGCACGACTCTGACCTGCGATGTAGGCAACTGCCCTCTCGTCGAGGCAGCCGGTGCCACGACTATTGATGAGTTTGACGAGTAAGCCAAGTCACCTCAGCATCTTTCCTAGTTGTCATCCGCTCACACCCCTCTAGCAGCAGCAGCTATGGCGACCCGACTGGATTCATCGCTGTTGACCCGACAAACGAGTTAATCGTTCTGGCTCTCCGGGGTAGTTCCGACCTCTCGAACTGGATTGCCGACTTGGACTTCGGCCTCACTTCTGTAAGCAGCATCTGTGATGGCTGTGAAATGCACAAGGGCTTCTACGAGGCCTGGGAAGTCATCGCCGATACCATTACCAGCAAGGTGGAGGCTGCTGTCTCCAGCTATCCGGACTACTCCATCGTGTTTACCGGACACAGCTACGGCGCTGCATTGGCGGCTATTGCGGCTACTGTGTTCCGCAACGCCGGATACACTCTTGACCTGGTAACCTATCCCCACCCCATCCTATCTATATTTTGTGCCCTTATGTTTCAGATGAGTCAACTAACACAATGGACAGTACAACTTCGGCCAACCACGTATTGGTAACCTCGCTTTAGCCGACTACATCACCGACCAAAACATGGGCAGTAACTACCGCGTCACCCACACCGACGACATCGTGCCCAAGCTTCCTCCTAAGCTGCTGGGCTACCACCACTTCAGCCCGGAGTACTGGATCACCAGCGGCAATGATGTGACGGTGACTACGTCGGACGTGACCGAAGTTGTGGGGGTGGATTCGACGGACGGGAATGACGGCACACTGCTCGACAGTACGACTGCTCATAGATGGTATACGATTTACATCAGTGAGTGCTCGTAAAGCATTGCTGGTGCAAGGCGGTGCAGTGGTTTACGTGGGCTGGATATAGTTAAGGCGGAATGAATTTGTATATAGCTTTATATAGTAATCGGCGAGGTACATATGCTAGTCTAATCATGAAACTGTTCGTTTGAGGCATTTTCTGACGTGTGTGAATCTTGAAGAGTGTAACTAATGAGGGTGGGAGCAGCAGTAGCACCGAAGAATCCCCGACCCGTCCATCCATCCCACTTCATCTTCAAATTGAACTGATTAGATTAACTTAACTTCCCTTGCCTGCCCCACTAATTTTCCCACGAACTGTCACACACTCTGCACGGCTCGTTCTACCATCCCGCGGCGGGGGATAAGATTATATAAAATATGACGGGCAATAGCGGCCATCGGGCAATAACTACGAATTCTGGTGTTGAAGTATGCTCACTGCTGACCTCACTGCTATATAATACTTATTATTATTTTATAGTTATATAATACTTTATTTACTAATCATGATGTTGATCATGTGTCACGGTGCAAACCCAGAGCACCTTCCTGATCCGCTCGACCTAACCGACCCGTTTGACTTGTTTGACCCCTTCCACCCCTTGACCACCCTGCACCCACGACCTCCTTAACCTCCTGCCCGCTCCCAAACCTGTTGTAGCTCTCCGAGCTACGTCTTATCTATGAACCTGAAGATAACCTGATTAAGTAGCTAGAAGATAAAATCCAGAAGACTTATATTAAGAAGCCTCCAGCTAGAACTGCTAGTCCTACCACCTCACCCGCGACCAAGCCAGCCAGCCAGCCCGCACCTTGACAGTGAGAGCCAATCAAATAAATTTCATTAGTGCTTCTAAACTAGAATATCGAACATGAGAGGGGAAAGAAAGAAGTATAAAAGAACATATATAAACAATAAAAGTAAATAAGCAAAGTAAAATAAACAGAATAAATAAAGTAAAACTACGTCATGTGCTTCGTCACGTCGCTCGCCATCACATATACTAACCTGATTGAATTTCCGTTATATGCGCTAACTGAATTCAGAAGTAAATATTACTATGTGTAAATGCTTATAGCTCCATACCATAACTGATTTAAAAAAATGAAAGTTATATCACTGTATTCCGTGTACGAAGCACTATCAAATGACACTAGCTTCGAACCTATCAGACATCATTTGACTGTTGTCCCGTTGTGAAGGTTTCCCTACTAAAATTGTTCCTCGTCAAAGGATATAGACTGTACGCATTCCAATTATGAGACCTAAAAGAGCCTCCTATCAGCATTTATTGTCTCTACCTCCCCATGTCGGGATTAAGTAATTTGCGCGCCTGCTGCCTTCCTTGGATGCGGTAGCCGTTTCTCGGGCTCCCTCTCCGACATCGAACTCTAATTCCCCGTTACCCGTTGCCACCATGGTAGGCCACTAATCCCACCATCGAAAGTTGATAGGGCAGAGATTTGAAGGAACTATTGCCATGATATACCAGAGAGTTCCGAAGTTTATTAGTTTTCTGTCCAGTAAGTACACTCCTTTCGAAATCAAGGTTTTCGGCACGTATCACCTCTAGAATTACCAGAGATCTCCATGTAGTAAGGTCCTATCTATTAAGCGATAATTAATGAGCCATTTGCAGTACTACAGTATAGAGTGCGTATGCTTAGACATGCATGGCTAAATCTTTGAGACAAGCATATGACTACTGGCAGGATCAACTACAGCATCACAGATAGAACACGCTGTTAGTACTGAGTGACGAAACTACATCTATAGTACACATTTGGGGGTCTCCTGTAAAACGGTAGACACAAACGACTTGATTACCGCAAGGTAGAGTACACGACAGGGATAATAGATAATTAGTACTTTTTCAAAGTACTGAACCATGCCTTGAACAGGGCGACCTTCTCACTCCAGCCAACTGGAATCTGTCCCCATCCATCTCCAACATGCTGGACAAGTTCCGAAGAGTTGACAGCCGGCCAAGGGGTGAGGCCTGGGCCATTGGGGTTGCCAGTTTTGATGAAGTTTGCCCAGTAGGTGTTCATCTTTTTCGCAATGGCGTAGTCTGCAGCAGTCCACGGCTTAGAGGTCGCGTAGAGGTTATTCAAAACATAATTGATCTCCGACTCGTGGTAAGCACCCTGATCCTGACCAGGAGGAGCATGGTCCCAGTAGTAGTTATAGATGGGGCTCTCGTAAGCAGCATTCCACATCTGAGACCAGAGCCATGTGCCAATCTTAGAACGGTCTGTCCACTGAGAATTCTCAGCTCCAGAAGCAGTGACCCTATCGGTGGCAGGGTATAGGTCAAGGAAGCGCTGAAGCCACTCGCCGCTAAACGTGGAGTTAAAATCCTCATAGTATGTTTCCAAAGAAATATTGAGACCATAAGTGGCCCCACTTTCATCTTTTGTATTTCCTGTAAGCACTGGCACATCCTGAGCAATCTTGTTCTTTAGTGTATTCCAGTAAGTCTCCGGGATAGCGTAGTAATCGAGTGTCGCGGTAAAAGAGTATGGCGAAGTAAGGAAGTTGGTAACAAGATCACTCATTGGCAGTTCTCGTGCTTCAGCAATTGTGGAAACATTCAGACTAGCCATGAACTTTTCAGCAGTGTTGTAGGAGACATCCAAAGTGCGATAGGCCTCGGCAGCTTCCATAGCCATAGGATCTTCCGGATAGCGTACTCCACTTTCGATAATAGCTCCAACAATCAAACCTCTTGTGAGGTTGCTGTTCAAGATATGCTGTGTGGCAGCCGATCCGGCAGACTGACCCATCACAGTAATATGGTCAGGGTCTCCACCAAAGTTGGCAATATTGGCCTTGATCCATTTGAGAGCAGCAAACTGGTCAAGCATACCCCAATTGCCGGAACTGTTAGAGCCCGTGACCTTCTCGAATTCTTCAGAGAGCTCGGGCGTTGCCATCCAACCAAATGAGCCGGTTCGATAGTTGTAGTTCACAAATACAATCCCCTGGTCTGCCATACCACCTCCATCAAACAGGGCATCTCTTGCAGTCGAGAGAGCAGGATAACTCCACATAACCACAGGTAATTTGTCACTCGATGAACGAGCAGGGCTCCAGATATTGAGGTTCAGACAATCCTCGGTGATAGTATAGTCATTATCACCGTTGGTGGCAGATGGACACACATCGCCAAATTCCTTGGCATCCAAGGTGCCATTCCATGGGGATGCAGGTTGGGGAGCTTTCCAGCGATTTTGACCACCTGTAGTAGCAGCAAAGGGGATTCCTTTCCAGACAGTTATATCCTTCCAATGGGTCAGGTTGCCGTTGTAGGTTTCATTGAATGCAGGATATCCCTGGACTTTGCCATATTTGGTTTGAACGACAGAATCATAAAGCGCAGCTGAAGCAACAGGCGAGAGACCGTAAACGACCGTGGCAGCGGTCGCAGCGGTAGTGGTGAGCCGCATTGCTCGTGACGGTTAAAAGCAAGATAGGAGAAGTTAAAAGAACGTGCACCTCAAAACACAATCTAATGTAATGGGCGATAGGTCAGTGATTTATATAATTTATATACCTTGAAAAGTATCCACCCGTCATTACGCTCATTGCAGAGGATCCCAGGATCCACTATAACCAGACGTGTGCCTCAAAGTTGTGAGTATTACGCTTATTGAATTTAGACTGGGTGACGTGTATTTGGTACACCCCGTCTACACGATCTACATGATCTACATGATTTAATCAAAAATGGGGGTTTTCGTCCGATGTGCGGGATTCCAAACGGGGCTCACTACACTTGCACTACAATAGGAAAATAACTCCGCTTCCAGTACGAATCATGACGAATGATGGAACATGCGTCATTCGGGCAATCGTGCCAAAATAAGAAACTCACAAGGCACAGAAATATGGACAGAATTATCCACAGAGAGCATAAGCGCGAAAGTACTCCGTACATGATTTCATGAAGTGCAAGAAGAGAGCTTCAGATCCTGCAGAATCCGCTTTACCAGTATTATGATAGTAGAATTGAAATATTATTTTCAGAACATCCAGAATCGAGTACCGTATGGCAAGCCGCCTGTACACAGAATGTGTGCTTGGCACGGTCCTTACTCTGTGTGCGTAGTCGATGCGGCCAGAGGCCTCAACTACAGCTTCTCTCCAGACGGGAGGTCGTTTTGGTAACTGACATAATCCAGATGGCTAATGAGTGGTCCAAGAGATTTATTAGCTTGAAAGAAACTCTCTGATTGACGGTCGTATGATAAAGACGCGCCAAAAGATGAGGCTTTGAATTAAACAGGGGTGCGGAGTAAACCGGACCGCTCGGTGGTTGAAACCGTTAGCGGATGTACTATGTATTGTAAATGAAGTGGGGCTTGGATAGGCCTCTCGGGCTGGGTAGTATTCGGAACCTCGGGTGAGCGGGAAGAAACAAGTTCATATCAAAGCGCTTGCGTAACCATCTATCTGCATGCGTTATCCTATTTGGTGATATGGGACGCAGACCTTGTGGGACCTTCGCTTTGATCCGAGTGACCCCCAATAATGATGCTTGTAACATCGAGACTCCTTTCAGGACGGCCCACCATTGCGTGTTCGACCGGGCGATGAAGTTCTTCTCTTGGAGGTTTCCTACATATGGAAAGAACTTCGACATAGGTCTGCTTTTCTACTCTAATATGAAGAGATAAGCCAACATAAAAGAGCGCTGATACTGCTTTCAACTTGCAGATATCTTTCAGACTAGTAGATTTTTCCATTGAAAGCCCATCTGCAACGCTACGAAACCCTTCTTTCTTCTTCAACTCGCCCTTCTTGGCCTGACATCTGCCTCTAGACATGATTCTTCCCACAACAGGGCCTTATCTTCATGCGATCCCTCTAGTCTCAACACCGCTGTTGGGTCCTACTACGTAAAGGAGAACCAAACAATTGCTGAAATTTCTCGCCAAGTCGACCGCGAAATTTGCGACATCGCTCGTATCAATCGCCTGGCAGACGCCATGATCCCTCTCTACACCGGTGAGGAATTGATCATTTCACTAGAAGTTTGCAAGCCAGATAACTCGACATGTCTGATCGTCGAAAAGCCCGGTGCAGTCTACGCCGACTGTATCAATGGTGGACCCCATACCTACTACACCCTCATAGGAGATACATTCCGGTACATTGCGCTGAAGCTCAATCTTACGCTCGCCGCTCTCGAATCCACTGCCCAGATTGAAGTTAGTGACCCAGATGCGGAGGTCGAAGCCGGCAATTTCATCAAGCTTCCCCAGTGTGACCCAAGTACCTGCTCTTTGCACCCCATGGAATTCATCTACGGAACCTACAAGAATATCGCAGACAGTCTGGGTACCACTGTAGGCCAGATGATGGCGATAAACCCCACGTATAACCATAGTGAAGGTGGTAAGGGTGAGGGTGCTGTAATTTCTATGCTTCACGATTGCGAGTACACTGGGTCGAACGTCATCGTGATTTCCTAGAGGACTGTTCAACACTTTTAAAAGATAAGCAACTGTAATATCTTGTGTTGAAACAACATTTCGCGGAAGTATAAAAGTCATGTAATACTTGAATTCTTGCTTTCTGGACGCGCCCGGAAGAAGTTACTAAGATTAAATTTCTATAATCATATAATATCAGAATCCATAGTATGTCATCCCGATAACACATCACGATATCGGTCCGTTCTATCCCAATCTGCTATACCTGATCTTCTTAATCTGAAGATATAAAAGTTAAATGAATTTCCTTAATCGTAATTTAATTTAAGTTCTAGAGTTAGGAGGACTTTTGTATCTTAATTTGACCGCCAGGTTACGGTCAGGTAAAGGATAAGGTATAACGGTCAGGTATAGCCACTCTACTTCTCTCTCATGTTGCTATTTATCAATTTCAGTCTTTATATAGCGTTCTTCAACAAGAATTGACCTGTTAAGTATGCGAGAGATTTCATAGAACGGGTCTGTAGTAATTCATTCATGTATGAAAGATACAGCTACTGTAGGCAAATAGTTCATCTAAATTTATGTCACCGTCTGCTCATTAGCCTCTCCCCGCGGTATCGTCTCCCTAATTGTTTTAGAGAACAAATGAATCATTTGATGACAAACACGATATTTACCTACCATCCATTTAAGTCTCTTTCTACTCAAACATCAGATGGTAATAATGCTCTTGAAATAGTAGTTATATTATATTCAAGTAAAATTGTATAATTCAAAGCAATCTCTGCGCCTCTGAAGATGTGCGATAAAACTGACTGTATTAAGACCAAGTTGATCAGAATATTAGCGTAACGGTTGCCAAGGTCGTAAGTACGTACGTAGGGTAGTTACCACCACACCAAGGAAAATAGTTTCCCCACCACCAGCACCTTTCCTGACATGATTATACTATACTATACTATGTACCACTACTCACTAATTATCGGGCATACTATCTCCGCTTACTGTACTTCACATGTGAAAGAGGGGGGTGTTTGCGACCGGGGAATTCCATGTCCGGGATATCCGACGGGGATCTGCGCTTTGCTCTGTTTTGGGTTGGAGCAGGGAGATATGAGAGGGTGGAATTGAGCTCATTCATGCCTTCACATGTTTTTGACATTATCTCGGGTTGCTCGTTGATAAGGCAATATGCAGGAGGCTAATTAGTATAGGTATCACGCTATGAAGGTATGCGTAATGGGTTAGTAATAAATTCTGCCCTAACTGAAAGAGCAGCTGCTCCGAGGTTTGCTCGTTCCACCGAAAGCTACTATTGCTTGTTTGGTTAGTGAGTGCATTTCCTGATAAGGTAGAGAAGTAGTAGTAGACTAGTACTACTATTCTCCATGAACGGTTTGTGCTGTCTCATTCCAATATTATTCTGTATCTATCAGGAAAAATGTTTTTGACTTGCAAAAGGGACACCTTCGATATAGCACAGTGCTAGGTCCAGATGATCTTTGTCATGTGGTGGTGCACATGGGGTTAGAACGGCTTCATCTCTTGTCTCACTATGGTATACTAAAGTAGCCCCCTGGTTAAGAAAGGTGCTGAAAGGTGAAGGATACCATACAATGCAAAGTCGGTTGATGGGTAGTAATGGGCATTCATTTGTGGTTCTTCCCTCCACCTAGGTAGGACAGCTTCTGAGACATCATTTATCCTTGTGTTGTACTAGTACTAATGTCAAAACTCAGCCTGATAAGTTCGCCATCATGTCCATCCATGATTCCACAAGGGAGATACAATGTGATCTCTAACTCTCGACTCCATCGCCAATACTTCGCCCTAATGGCTATCTTCGACACATGTCCGTAGCACCACATCTACTCATCCAAACACTCATATTCATCCAACTCCAAATCATCCGTCACCAGCTCATCCGCCAAACTCAACTTCCCACAAACAACCCCCCTCAGGAACGCCTTAGCAACGACATTCGCCCCGGCCGCACTGGTATGCGTATGATCGATCGGAAAATACGCATCCACAGTATCCGCCCCCAACGCCTCATATACCTGATCCGTGTAATCAAAATGATTCACGTACGACGTGTCCGCCGTTTCTGCGGCGATTTCCGCGTACTCGACGAACCGCGGCGGGTCATCCACGAAAGTGCCCGTTTCCCACGGGTTATCGGGCGTCTGCGAGGAGATGATGACGGTTGCACCGATCTTTTTAAACATGTTTGAGGCGTTCTCGAGGTACGCAGGGAAGGTGAGGATGGTTTCGTTGACGCCATCATATTCCGAGTAGCATACTTCGGAGCCCGTGCCAGAACAGTCGGTGCGGCCGTTGTCGCTGGTTGAGCTGAGCGTGCCGCCGTCGTTGTGGCCGAATTCAATGATCACATAGTCGCCCGCTTCAAGCGTGCTGGCGATGTCGTCGAAGCGGCCTTCGCGCGTGTAAGACCGGGCGCTGCGCCCGGCTACGGCTTGATTGGAGACGGTGATGCCGCTTGAGTTGCTCAGGTACTGGGCGACGTAGTCACCCCAGCCTAATTGATTGTTAGGTGAAAAAAGCGATGATGGGTAGGAGGGAGGTACCGGCTGTGTCGGAGCCACCACCACCGGTGGCCATGGTGGAGTCCCCCGCCAGGTAAATAGTTGTGGCGAGGGAGGCAGGGAGAAGGGTTAGGATTGGGAGGCTGGAGACCTTCATTGTGGTGGGATATCTCATAGACTAAGGTGGGTGATTGAGTTCGACTGAAGATCACAGAGCTTGCAGGGTAGGGTTGATATGAAGCGCCAGCTTGACGAGCGCATCCATCCATACGTGGAAAAAAGTGTAACATCGGGGTTTGATGCACCGAGACTCGTCCGAATCACCCCGTCTGCACCAGCAATGGAAACGGAGGTGAAGTGGTATGTCCGTGATCTGCAGGGACGAGATCGACACAAATTGAGTGATTGATTCAACTGCAGGATGCGGAGTGGGTGAGGGGAACTGGTCAGCTGGATCCCCGCATCTGACACGCAGCAAAGCCCGTCACAAATTGTCCACACATATTGCTGCGTCTGCGATTCCATAGGGAAATTTCCCTGTTCGGAGAAATCGACAGGGTGCAAAGTGAATAGGCCGCTGGGCAATTGCTCTCGGAAGAGGGACTCTACGCAGGTTGACATCATGCGTTGGCAAAACCATGGGGAAGAGTCAGTGAAGAGAGGAGGTTCTCATTAAGGTATAGAATCACGCAACACCGAATCCATGTGTTCATACGCTAGCTCCTGGTCTATCGCGGGCAACGGGTGATCCCACTTTACGGCCCCCAAGAACGGCTCCGTAGCAGGGGCGTACCCCAGCACAGGGCACTGCTTTATCGCACGTGCGCCCAGAAAGTTGATCAGAAATCCTTCAACGACCTCCCACGACAGGATGTACCGCGATGCAAGGAAGTACAGCGTGTTGGCCCACGCATGCAACCGCGTTGTCCTCGCAGATTGTCCCGCATCCGAACGAACTGGCCCGGCGCGTACTTCTTTATATTCGTCGAATATCTGACCGAGCGTGGCAGCGTCTAGCGATTCACTCGCTGCGCTCTGCAGCGCCTTGTGCAACCCGTTGCACAGTATTACCACGTCCTTGATGCCGTTATTGAAACCTAGTCCAGCGTTGGGGGTGTATTTGTGACATGCGTCTCCCGCGAGAACGATCCGTCCCCAACCCCAGTGCTGGATAATGCCTTCCTCCAAGTTGGCCATGCCCGAGGTGAACCGCTCCGTGTACACGTCTTTCACCTTCAGAGTATCGGTGATAGGAAAATCGGCAAACCGTGCCGCCATTGCCTCGATATCTTCCGTCTTGTAGTCTACTCGATCGGAAGTTGGCTGTGGCAAACGCTCGTAAAGGAAGATCCATCCACGATCGCGCCCGGAGAGGTACATGACTGAATAGTCCTTGCTTTGGGTTTCAGTGGCATGACCGGCGTCAGTCCGTCGGGGAAAGCTGCACCACAAGCATTTGTACTCGGCTTTGAAGGGGTTTGCGGCATCCCAACTCCGCGTGGGGTTCGCGGCCAGGGCGAGTTGGCGCATCAATTGCCGGGTTTTGCTGTGAACGCCGTCGGCTCCAAGGACCATAGATCCTTCGAACGAGGTCCCATCGGCGCAGGTGACCCGAACCCTGGTGTCGCTTGACTCGATATCGCTGACCTTTTTGCTGAATAGATATCTTGCCTTGGCCTTGTCCGGAAGCAAATCGTATAGGGTCTGGATCAAGTGTGCGCGGTGGAACGCGACCGGGGCGATCCCATGACTATTAGTGTCAGTATTGCGCCGGCATGATCGAGCGAGCTGACAGATAAGCGTAAAGCAGTACATACTTTTTCCGCATTATGTGGAAGGGATTGGTATTGCGGAATACCTGTCCCTCTCGAGTATACGCCTGAACCTCGCGAAGTTCCGCACCAATGGCTAGCATCTGGTCAAGCAGACCTAGCTGGTGCATAATTCGCAGAGATGGGGCCCCAAGGACCAGACTGGCGCCTTGATCGTGGCGTACCGAGTCTCGGCGTTCGAGCACGACAAAGTCGATGCCTGCGCGGGCGAGTGCATGCGCCGCAGTAAGGCCGACCGGGCCACCGCCAACGACGATAACCTTAAAAGGAGAGCTGGACATTTTAGAGGCAGTGTAAGGACACCGATGTTAGTCTTGATTTATGGGAGGAGTGGCCAGGCATGTGGGCATCTGTGGGATTCATATACGGACTACCAAGGATGTCAGACCGGCTCTCGTCAATTCCGGACACCTAGACATGGCTACGTAAGGTCCATCCGCTCGATTTGGGAGATAGCGGCTGGTGCTGGAATACTTGGCATATGGGGAGCAGACAACCTACAATTCAGGGAAGTTTAACATGGCGACATATGGTGGGCCTAGGAGGTATAGGGATTCGCGATTGGCCCGAGAATCTATCAGATCATCACAGATGGGGCGGGCTTCGGCTAGAATCTATCGGGTTGATTGTCCATTGGTGGAGGAGTGGATGCCAGCAACTTGATCCATTGGCTCGATGACTGGCCGGCATTTCGGGAATTGTGTACTTCCAGAGTACTATCTAGCTGGTGTGGGCACTCATCGCCATGGTCCATTGGAGCCTTCGCGCCTGTTCTGTATTGAAAGCGGGCGTGAGAGGAGAACTCCAGACGGACGGCAATTCAGTAAGCTGATTGCAACTCGAGATGTTAAGTTTGCCACGAGTGAGAAGGGAAAGCGCGTGAGAAGGACCTAGCTAGAAAGCCAGAGTTTAGAATGGGTCCGGGCCGCGGATGCTGGATTTCTCTGGTTCCAGATTGTTAGTTTACTAATTACTCTGTAGGTAGGTAGCTAGTTAGGTTAGTTATGTTTCTCTAAAGCCCGCTGACTCATAGGACATAACGTTGGTAACTAACTAACTAATCCATTTCAATTAGGAGACGGTGGTGGAGGTGGTGCAGTGGGGATGGACGGGAAATTCGTCTCTCAATCTAAAACTCAACTTTTGTGCAAAGGATTTGAAGCATAAACAGGTTCGACTCGTCGAATGATCCAGCATCTGTGGTCTAACTCGTAGTGGTTAGTTGGGCACCCACAGGCGACCGGGTCAGAGATAACTGCAACGGTGTCAGACCGAACCTGGGAAGACTGTTCAGTTTTAGTCAGAGAGATTGTGATATTGAAAAAGACAATATATAGATAATAAAGTCACTTTTGATACTGAATTATCTAAGATGTATAATGATTTCTTATTAATATGTATAGATAGGTTTAGATTCCACGTTAGTTTTGATACTGTATTAGTATGATTATATAATCATTCTTTCTAGATAGTAACGTTAGTTACTATGAAGAGCCGCAGTAAAATTTGTCAAATTCGAAAATTGCTTAAAATAAACTAATTTCTATTTCTAGTTATAGCTGAATATTAACTTATGAAGGGATATCTTTAATCCATAACTAATATCAAATTAGATCGTTCGGGCTCGACAACCGGCCACGGGTTCTTGTCGAATCAGTAGGTTGAGTGCCTTGTTAATTTCGAGTTACCTACGAAAATTCCTATATTGATAATTTCTTAGGCAAAAATAAATTCACATAATTCAATCATTGCTTCGATATATACATGTAAAGTAAGCACCCCCAGCACCTACCTACTAAAGCTACGTAACTAGTTGTCTCGGAACTAAATCTGGAATCCTTGTCCGAATCACTGAATCAGAAAGCACCTTGGGAGAGATTCTGGTTCGCTTGACTAGAATCATGGTTTCATGAGTCTGATTCAAGTCACCGAGTTTTACAACTCTGAGCCCAATGCATGCCTTGGAATTTGCCCAATCAGGAGGGATGAAAAGCCGCTGGAGGTGAGGGGGTAGCTCAGGTTGGCTACCCAAGGTCAGCTGCAGCAACTTTGAGACGCTGAACTCTGCCAAAACAAGTCACACCAGACACCTTCCCATGACTACTAGTATACGTGTCCAGGTAGATCTCAGGTTCGTATGCTTCAAGTTGGCCGATGGACCACCTACCCTCCATTCTGTCGTCCATGCGGGCTTCGCCACAAGTACCGTATTTGGATTACCAACCTAGATACGACGGCAGTGGGTTTGACGCCTTTCCCTCGCGATGCGGCATCGACACGGACAAGTTACAACGAGGCGACCTCGGAGCGCACACAGTCGACAGCATCATGCCGTTTTTGCAGGAGTGGCTCTTCTTCGGCCTACTGCAAGAAGTCTTCGAGGTCGCCCACGTTTCATTTCGGCGGGAAGATTCCGTGGCCAAGGCCACCGCCATACCGGGCCAACAACGGATATCTACAGCAAACTTACCAAAGTACCTCTGGTCGTGGACTGCTAATACTGTTTGGGCGCGGGACACTTTTGGCGAATTCGATCACCAGAAGAGGAGAGTCGCAGAGGTCCTGAAGCTGAGCAACTTGTGCCTCAACGCCGTCATTCGTCTTCAGGCCGCGCATAGAGGGACCGAGCCTGCAACCGGCCCTGTGTTGCTCTCGATTGCAATCGTGGGAGAAGCTTTAGACGTGGAGCGAGACACAGTATTTATCTCCCAGCGTGAGGAGTTCTACGGCACTTTAACATGGGAGCTCCCCGAATTCGGCAGGAAGCTTCTCATGGAGGCTGGATATTGCACTGGCGAAGTCAAGGCTCTCCGCAGGGACTTCCCGAGCGTGTCGTCCCTTTATTATCTCGCCACGTGGGATCGCTCCACATCCAAAGCCAACCACTCTCAATGTGCAGAGACATGTCTCGCACGTCAGGTCGACGAGAAGACGTATGCGACGAAACACACAGGCGAAGGCTGTTCCTGCCTCCACCTTCCAATCGACATGACAGCCATCTTCAAGATCGTGGACCAAAGAGACGATTTCACGGCGGAGTACACAGTAATACCCCCTGGATCCAAAATTCAGTATTCACTCTCTTCTCTCCGATTAAACAAATAGGGGTACCACGTAACTGGCATGCCACATTACCGAGACCCTGCTTTAAACCGAGTCGAAAGCCACAACTATGCCATGGAGATATCTTGATAGAGACTAGGGAATCAGCCATACATGTATGCTGCATTATATCGAAATCTTAACTGAATGTAACATGCAGGACGATGTCGATATTTACTGTCGAAGCACATCGAAACATGTAGTCTACCATTATCATGGTGAACTGCACCTTCCACATCATGTCTCGGCTCCTTCCTCAACCCGACATTGGACACAACTATATGACCACCATCCCTTTTTAACAAAGCACTCAGTAAAGCTCGGGTAAGTATAGATATACATGCTCTATCTTCACATCTCAGATCTTACCTTACCCCCCGAATCCTCACCCAGAATGTCCACCGCCATCAACTACAACGACCCCCTGTCAGGAAATAACATCAATAACTTGGTTGACCAAACCCTTTACGTCAAAGGCATACAGACCACTCTCCATCATGAAACACCCTTGGTATCCTACTCCTCACCATTGTCCCGCCTCATATAAAATTCTACCCTACCACCATAAGCTGACATAGCAACCCAGATGAAGGTGTACGGGATCAAATTCGACTTACTCACCCAGAGGCCGATCGCGACTACATCGACAGCCCATATCAGTCACTCTTCATAGCCGTCAAAGCAGCCTTGGCACTTGCTAATACAGATGCCTTCACTCAAGTATTCTCTATATGTGGAATTCATGAAGAACACTGCCAAGGCCCGTTTCCCCCAGTCGAGAAGGTCATGGTGGAGAATCGCTCGTCGGTCTACCATTTTCATGCGCGTGGGAATCTTTCCCAGCGATTAGTTATTATCCCGGAGATACTCTTGGACGGAGTGTTTACAGAACCAGATGATGTTGATACACAGAGACAGCAGAGCGCCTTGAATGACCGGTAGGACCAGCCATGGCTCATGCCAAACTTATTCTCCCGTTGCTGGACTTTATGAAAGAACTGATGAGAATACCTTTTCCTTTTTGGTTACGATACTTGCATATCTACAGGGCAACTACAGCCTGTCTGAAGGGTTTTCCTCTTGCTGTCACTCTCATGTACCGCCAAAGCCTTTTGGGACGGTCACTGGGAACACACTCATTACCCCGACTCAGAGAGCAACAGCTGATCCTGAAGATCGATGCGCTTGTCAAGGCTGTTTGGACCCATGAGTTGGTCTCTCGGTAGTTGAGTTAGATAGTATAGAATTACCCATAATATATTCATATTTACATCCAACACAATAATCACTAAACTGCGCTATGTAATAGGTATCGAACAAGTGCCCACCGGGATCTGTACAGAATCCCATTCCACTGCCAACATCTGATTAAGTATACTTGTAGATGGTATCGTGCAAAAGTAAAGCAGCTCATTAGTCATGTCTCATAAGGCCACCATCCGCTGCCCATGCTTAGTCCATTTTCTCCAACGCCGCCTTGACCAGCCCGCGCTTCTCCACCCGCTGATAGTATTGGCCTAGGTTTGGGTAGCGCTTGTCCGACAGCAGTGTTGTCGACCGCGCAATTTCCCTCAGAACGGGCCACAGCGCGCAGTCATCAATGCTGAACCCAGCGCCGCCCAGGTAGGTCTGCCCGGTCAGGGCCTGCTCCCACCGCGTCAAATCAAACTCGCCAGTGCCTTGGCGTTGTGAGTCGCGCCAACCGGCCAGAAGATCGTCGATAGCCGCCAGATGACTTCCCCCGCGTAGGGCATCAAGCTCTGGTCGCACGAGCTCTGCGGCGTGCTGCGCAAAGTGGGTCAAGATGGTGACGTCACCAGCTATCTGGGTTCCCTCAGCGGCAATATAAAGTGGCCGCACGTCGTTTTCTGGGATGCGCGCAGGCATTGATTCGGTTTCGTAGCGGATTCCATTCTCGCTCAGGCACAACCGCACCCGCAGATTAGCTAGGGCATCCGGTCCAAGGAAGAGCTTGGATGTACCCGCAGTGACAAAATTGACCACGTCGAAACCTCTTCCATACACCTGCTCCCAATCGAACTCTGTCGCGTGGTTCTCTTCTCCGAATGCCCGGATGATGCGCTCCGTCTCGCTCGCATCTCCATGAATCACTGGCTGTGCCTGCTCCTGCGACTTTGACACTGCGCCCTGGCCCCAAATGGTGTCGCCGGCTGGGTTAAGGAACGTGCCAATGTGACGGAAGGTCAGGGAAATGCGCTGCCCCTCGTATGCGCGCTCTTCCATCGACTTCTCCGTTTCCGGCCGCTTGTCCGGTCGGATGCCGTGGAGCCACCGCCGGTTTGTCTCATCTCCAAGGATGAACAGCGATTCATGGGGCATGGGGATACGTTGTGTCTGTCGGCCCGACTCTCCACCTTCTGCGGCACCCTTGGTACGGAGAACCATGACCCGCTGAGCACCGAGACTGACATTGCAGATTGAGGAACCTCGGACGATATCAAGGGTCTTGTCGGAATGCTCGGAAATTCGGTCTTGCCCATCCCGGTAGAGCTGAATGAGCGCATGGTTCAACGGGTGCCCGAGAATGCGCTCCACAATCGCGCGGACCTTGTTCACTGTGGCCGTGAAGGGTTGCAGTGGTGGCGACTCATCAGCCGGATGGCGATAGATAGGTATGGATCCGTCCTCTAATGCTTTGCCTTGCACCGCTACTAAACGGGGCACCTGGCCTGACAGATGATACATCTTCTGCCATGACACTTCCTCGCGGATCTTCTCGAAGGCCTCGGATGGTAGGTCAAGATCATAGATGATACGGGAATCTCCCTCTCCGATCATGTCGCCCGGTCGGTATATATCGGTTTTCTTGGACTTGCCGCTGCGTCGCTTGTCCGACCGAGACGCAGATTCTGTCTTTGCATCTGGCCGTTTTGAACGTCGCACTCGAGCGCGAACCTTCTTCTCCCCCGACCCACCGGGCGTCGCTCCACGAGCTGAATCCCCATATCGAGCACGTGAACGAGTCAAGGAAGCTAGCTCTTTCAGGTCTCCATCCTCGTTATCGGTGAACTCCGCCAAAATATCATCAATCCTGCGGCGTTGGCCTCCGCTTGATCCTGATTCTGGACTCTCCTCCTTCGTCGTGGGGGAGGCGCTCGGCCTCACCTCTAGTTCATCCAGAACATTTTCAATACCAGCGGGAGTCAGTGACTGCAACGGGCGCGGGCTCCCTTTGCGCGCAATCTCGTCTGTCTCCTCCCAGTCCAGCTCTTGAAATAATTCTTGAGTTGTAATACCATTGGCTCCGAAGATGTCAGCCATACGGCGCATCGCTTCCTCATGGCGCGTAAAACTGCGGAACCCGAGACAGTCTTCGATGAGTGTTACAGTGAATCCATGGCGCACGGCATCAAGGGCTGTGGCGTAAACAGAGGTGTTGGACAGCGACCCGCAGAGATATAGTTGGGTGATAAACCTCGTGCGGAAGTACAGAATTAGGCCTTGATCCTGCAGGGCGGAGTATTCAAACTTGTCGACTAACATATCCGCCTCATTGTCAATGGCAGCCAGTATTGGGGCCGGGAATTGTGTGCCAGTCGATTGGGGAATACAGCACTGTGGAGAGTCGGTAGAGAGGAAGGCTTCTTCATCAACGGGTCCGGCACGATCGGCGGCGGAGGGATCAGAGGGGTCGAATGCATCTTCGTCGGGAGTCTGCGTTCTGGTCTGTCGCTCCATGCGACCGAGCACGATGAGGTCATGTGCGTCTGTCGGGCTGATCAAGGGCTGTCGTTCTTGATAATGAGAACGCACCCACACCACCTCGCCATTGCGCCGAAAGGCGGTCGCGAGCTGAGGCAAGAGATCGAGAAAATCGGCGGTGTTGGAGACGTGCAACGCGCCATTCGGTCGTACAAAGTCATTCTGGAAGTCAAGCAAAAGAAGGGCCTTTCCGGTGGCGATCGCGGGTAGGTTGGTAAATTGGGCAAAGAAACTCATTGTCTGCACATGGTCATTCGGAGGCGGACAGGAGCGGGGGAATCGATGCGGTGTGGACGGCAGATCGACTGGGGAGACAGTCGGAGGCCAAGGTTAGGGGAGTGGGACAAAGTGCATGAGAATGAGCAAGGGGGAATGATGAAGAAGGACGGGAATGAAAGGATGAAGAGGCAGCAGCTAGAGAAGAGCTGAGGAAGAAGCTGTGAAGCTTGAAGATGTTGGGGGGAATTCGGGGATTGTTTGGCCTGTTTGCCGAGCAGCCTCAGGCAGCGGGGCCGAAACCGCAATCTCGTGACTGCTGCTCGGAACCCTTTTCCGCCGGCCGGCTTATCCCGCACTGTTCCCCGAACTCACCCTATACATTCAGGACACAATAGACGCTACTAAGTAACTATCGATCTCTAGAGTAGGATCTACACACCACTATTTCCTTCCGGCCTGCTCTTGTGGCAGTATTATTGACACATCAACCCTCCTTGTCCTTGGTCTCAAGTCTTAGTTCACTCCAGTCGGAACTCATGGCAGGTGGTCTTTCAGCAAACGTCATACTTCAGCATCATCACCACACTCTTCGCGGCATTCTGCTCCTAAAGATCGGCCTCGGCTTATGTGATTATTTTGGTAGACTGACTAACTGAAAAGTGAGCCTTACGTCATTTGAGATGGCGTTTAGTCGGGGGTCTTCAAATCCCCCACCAGAACTCGCTGCGATCTACGTAAGCGAAATCAAGCGACGACAGCCTGAGGGCCCATATCTGTTGGGCGGATATTCCGTCGGTGGCGTGTTGGCCTTTGAGGCAGCACGACAACTTCTTGAAGACGGTAACCACATCGAGAAATTATTATTGATCGACACTGCATGTCCAACATTCGTCCGTTACTCCCCCGACGCCTTGGTCTAATTTTAAAATTCCATCGAGCAAGGGCGCGTGGGGAATGGCAGTAAGTTCCGACCAAACCGCCGAGGCAGATTGGTGGCGAATGATCACTTCTTCTTGGCCCGGCAGCAGATGCTAGCATATCAAATGCGCAGGCTACCGGGACGAAAGATGCCGCAGGTGGTGCTGATCTCCGCGAAAGAGGGTGCGGACAAGCAGGAAGGAGTGCCTCGCCCGGCATTTCTGCTGGAAGATCAGAAGGCCGTGGACTGGTTTCTAAATGATCGTACCAGCAAGGGATATTTTGGCTGAAACGAAGTTCTGGACAATATAAAGGTGATACGGGCCGACGGTAACCATTTCATCATGATGTTGCCCTCGATGGTAAGTTCAGCTTCAGCATATCCAACTACAATTATAATGGCTGACACGGAACTACAGATCAATGGATGGGGCGCGGAACTCGCTAGGATGTTGGACGAATAAGTAGTGCCAGTTGTCAGTCTTTGTTAGACATGCATTGTGTATGGTTAGATGAGGGCGTTAGTCGCGTCAGACAGCCCAGGCACTGTCTAATGTCAAGGCAATGCCATAAAGATGTCATACGGTGTGCTCTAATGATAGGAACATAGATTAGTCGAGATAGTGCAGCATCCTGCCAAACTTGTGATTGCCGATAGAGAGCTTTCAGGAAGCGGAACTCTCATACCAACCTCTCATGATGTTCTCCTTATGAGTATAATGAGTGAATAAGTTAGTACATACGACCATAGGGTGTGGAAAATAGGGCTTCCCGTCCGCTCAGCCGTACTCAAGCCACACGCCGGGAGGTTAGTAGTTGGGTGGGTGACCACCAGCGAATCCCTTCTGTTGTATGTTTTTCCCATTTTCTTTTACTTTTACTATGATTATAGAAAGACATTCTTTATTTTTGGTCCTACCTGCTAGAATTATAATTTCCCTTTGCTCTGTAGAACGTGTCATATTATGAAGAGAAGAAGAGTTCCGTGGTCCAGATGCCATGACGAGACTGCCTTGGTAATAATGTTGGCATAGTTGTGATGGATAGAATATTTGGTTTTCGCATTGCCATAGCTTGCCAGGAAACTGCGAGGTGCCATAGGACATCCTGCCGGATGGACGCTTGCCGCTGTTTGAGGCAAAACACTTCCACGTGAAAATGCAGCCGTATGAGCTCCATGCCAAAGCGCTATTTTCTGGTGGATTGAAGGACTGTATCAGCTGACTACGTGATCGTATTGGTTCAATAATAGAAGATGAGGTCATAGGCTGATGGTTGGACAAAGACGCTTTTGTCTGGATGCTGTACGTGCAGCTGAGTCATCGTCGGCGCATCGCTTCGTAGTTCATCTCTGCGTCTGCTCCATCGACGTT